AACCAGTTATATTGTATTGTATGTACAACCTACTATAATGTTTTAATTTTATTTATTATTATTTATTACAGAGGATATACAGATGTGAAGAAGGAACGTTAGGATTAACAATATCAAGTATGAAGGCGTGCCCACCCCTACACCATGGAACCACATTTGTACTTATAATACTATTATAGGTAGTTTCTATTTGTTCTTGTTTGTTGAACATGAGGCCAAATTATGTTAATGAGTCTGTAGGTTGTTGTCTATTCTTTGTTGCGCAATTTGTAATATCAACTGCACGCAGTTAAAATCACACTTTTCAAACTTTGTTTTTTTTTTGGCTGTGTTGCTAAACTATAAACAAAAAAAAGGTTAAAAAGGTTTTACTGACAAGAAATCATCAGTTTTTATATCTCTTACAAATAAATGGATTTTCAAAAAATTAAAATAAGAAGTTTGAAGTTAGATGCAGTTTGTTTTTATTTGTTTTTGTTTTTTATTTTACACGACTGAGGATTTTTTTTTGTTTCTTTCTTTTCCTCTAAGTTTTATTCCCAAAGGGTGTCATCTACTGGGTTTTTTTCCACAAAGAAACTGGCAGAGGTGAGGAAGTCTTGTCATCTCACCTGTCATCGTGAAGATCCCTACTATCCAGCTAATTTGTCTGTTCCCCAGCAAACTCATCTCCATTTCACCAGCTCCACTCTCCTTCTGCTCCCTCTTGGCTTTAAAGGAAGCCCAGATGCCCATGCTGAGGACCATCAGGTAGAAAACCAGCATCACTACAACTCCGAGGACGTTCACTGCCATGATGCACCGCTGAACAGTTCCCACTAGTCAAAGCTTAATCCTAGACACAGAGACCGAGTGGTAAAACTCAAACAGCTTCAGTCGATCTATCTGTGTGGGTGTGTCAGAGTCAGCTTTGAGAGAAAGGAATGGGAGTGAGCTCAAATCTTTTAAATGAGACTGAGACAGACAAATCCCTTCCTTTGTCATGAACAGGTTGGTAAGTGAAGTTCCCTCATAGTAAAGAGTCAGCTTGGTGTTCACACTGCCTAAAAGCTTGTCCTGGGTTTAATTTCCTGTGGAAACACATACCTGGCGCAACCTGTTGCAGCAGGCCAGTCTTGTCTTAAGAATTTGCCAAATGTGGGCTTGGTAAAGTTTAAAATATTTCGTGTTGCATTGGCACAGAGGCAATGTCTCTGTCATTGGTGTGGAACCCCAGGGTTCACTTCTTCGGCAAGATTGAACCCCGGTTAGGGCGGTTGGTACCTGTGGACTCACCATTTCAGGGAGGTTCAGGGGGGTTGGTACAGTGGGGCAGTGTGATTTGGGTGGCCATTGGTTGGTACAGTGGTGCAGTGTGATTTGGGTGGCCATCGTGGAGACTGCTGCCCCCATGACCTGGTAACCGATAAGCGGACGAAAATGGATGGCATTTTTTTTTCTTCCAAGTATTTCAAAATCTAAGCTCGTTCGACAGCATAAAACCGCAGAGAACCTCGCCATTTGATTTTTGGTCGTGGACCACAGATCTGACATGGATGCTAAAAGTCATGCCTTCAAAAGGGCCTGTCCTAGAGTCTGCCAAAGGTATCAACATATACACTAAATCCCTCTGTTCACTTACGCTCAATTCTAGAGTTTAGACCAGTGACATAAGGTTGCAGTCCCCTGTCTGCCCCCTGAACCCCATAATCTGCCCCTTATGGGCAGTGGTGAAAAGCTGCCCACTGTTCACTTTGGTGATGGATTTAAAGCATCATATTTGGTTGTATGCAGTGGTGTGGTCACAATGCAGCTGGAGAACATCCCAGTTACTGTCGTAACTTCGGTTTGAGAGGTCAGGGGTCGCAAAGTAGTGCCAGGGCAACTGTTGTTTTGTTGGCTACGATATTCAAAATGAAAAAAAAAGTACTTATACTTTATTTCCCTTTTAAATACTTTTGTTGCTGTAAAGAATAATGTAGAAGCAAAAACACAGTGACTGTAATATGATCCACACTTGAATATTAGTCAAAAAATTAAATATAATAAAACACTTGTGATAGAAAAGAAATTGTTTACAGCATTTTTTTTTAAATTTTGCCTTCATACAGAAGATACGATTGTGTATTGAAAGTAACGTAACGTAAAAAGCACGTGGTTATTTCATGATGCGAGGTCCTGTTTTTTCTCATAGTACCCACGTGATGGCACTGTTGGCCGCGTGTAGTTAACAACAGTCTCACTGCTGTTAACCTCCCAATAAACTGAAGGGTGACATGTGTGAAGGAAAGTGTGAAACATGCACACACACACACACAATGTGGCAACAACACAGCCTGGGATCATGTATCCTAGCATGTCCTGCAACATACCTCCTGGTCAGGCACATGATACCTTCGGTGGCAACAGAGGGAATGCAGCCGAGGGCTTAACATTTGTGACAAAGAACAGTGTGGACAGAGGTGACAAAGATGAAAAAGAGCCGGCCTCATATTCACCAAAGTGCCTGATAATTTTCAAAGTGTACAATTGGTGAGGTCTTTTAACTCAGATCTGGAGTCAGCCTCTGGAAGTGCAAACCAGAAGAGGCAGCAGGAAGGAGAAAGACAGCTGACAAAGTGTATCCATATGTCNCCTCCTTCCTGTTCTAACAGTGGCTGCATAGACAGGTTTCAGACCCAGGACTAGTTTTGAGGACCAGATGTGTGCCAGCTCATGCGTTCTCTGATAGCCACTCCACATGTGTGGTTATTACTGGGACTCATTAGTGAGTTAACCCTCGACCACAGGCGAACGGTGTCGTACAGAGGAAGAAAGGAAAACAAAGCTGGGAACCAATAACAATAAAGCAAGAGGATCACTGGACCACATGTGCTCCGTGTGGTTGAAGAGAGCAGCGGCGACAGACAATTTTCTTTAAACATCTTATGCAGAGAGAGAGAGAGAGAGAGATAGAGAGTGACTCCATATGGGAGACTTCATACATATATTCACAAAAAATATGACCCAAAACAGATGAGGCTGGGAACTCTAGACTCAAAATAAACACACACACTGTCACCATGTTGTTTATTTCCTCTGACATCCTCACTGCCACAGTCTTTCTGTTTGATTTGGGTAAATGGTTCATTCTAACTAAACTACTAAACTATTTATTTATTTATTTTTTTGGTTTTAAAAGGGCATTTTTATGGAGCTTCAGTGTGGAAAGAGAGCAGAAGGAGGATCTGAACTAAAGTGAACCATATTTTATGGATTAATTTCAATACTAACTCAACCCTATCTGAAACACCCCAGTGAGTATAACTGCTGTTTGATTAAACCACAATCCTATGAATACACTTTCGATCATTGATCACAGAGGTTGCTGTGTTGTGAAAAGCATTAGGTAGGAAGACATAAAAATTCATTGACATGAAAAAATATATATTATCATATATTATCATAAATGTAATATTTATCTTTTCTTAACTGCAGCAACTGCTCTGCTCATTCTCCGGATTTTTTTTTTCACAAAACAAGCACAAACTGCTGATTGGCTGAGGACCTTGATTGCTGATTCATGGCACCTGTTAGCCTATAGATCAAGCTGGTGTTTAAAGGGGCCCATTTCACCTCACAAATGCTTGAGCGTTCCAGCAAAGTGTGTCTTATCTGTAGTGTGTTATCAACCGGTTGTTTCAACATGGGTAAGTTCTCCTGTTTATTGTTCTGTTTTTTGTGTTTGTGGTTCCTTAAGTTGATCAAATTAAGGCTGCGTTATGTCACTGCTTGGGCTTGATTTATTTATTTTTATGTTATTAGCAAAGAAAGTGTTGATCGTGTACGCCCACCAGAGCCCAGCCTCATTCAATGCAGCAGCTAAGAATGTAGCTGTTGAGGTTCTGACAGCTAAGGGCTACACAGTGGAAGTCTCTGATCTGTATGCTATGAAGTTCAAGGCCACGGCCACTACTGAGGACATCACAGGTGCTGTATACTCTCTGAGAGTGCAGGTGTTCTCGCTGGATGTTCTTTCCTCGTTGAACTGTTGACTTCCTGCAGGAGACGTAAAGAACGCCGAGCACTTCTGCTATGGGAATGAGACCAAATTGGCATGGGAGGAAGGGAAGCTCTCTGCTGATATCACTGAGGAACAGCGCAAGGTCACAGAGGCAGACCTGATTGTCTTTCAGGTACAGCTTGCTGCAGATGCACTGTTTGTGTTCAGAGCTCAAAGATTAAAGTTTTATTTCCTATGTCTTGCAGTTCCCCATTTATTGGCTGAGTGTTCCTGCTATCATGAAGGGCTGGATTGACCGAGTCCTCACACTGGGGTTTGCCTACACGCCAGAAAAGAGATACAGCAATGGAGTCTTCAAAGTCAGAATTGAAGACACTTGTGATATTGCAGTTTTCTTTTTACATATCTATTTTAATTTAGTTTGTCTCCCACAGGACAAGAAAGTGATGCTCTCCTTCACCACTCATGAGGCTGAGTCCACATTAAGTGCCAATGGCATTCACGGAGACATTAATGTTGTACTTTGGCCGCTACAGGTACTAATACATGAGATGGTATTTTCATACATGTATATATAAAAAAAAAAAAAAACTCCACTCCTTTCTATCTAACACACACTATTCTACTCTTTCTAGAATGGTGTCCTGTACTACTGTGGCTTCCAGGTTCTGGCCCCACAGATCTTCTGGGCTGCCTCCGGTGTCCCCACAGAGGCCCGTAATGCCATGCTGGAGGCCTGGCGCACACGGCTGCAGACTCTTTTGGAAGAGGAACCACTGCGCTTTAGTCCGTTGGACTACTTCGATGAGGAGAAGGGGTTCCAGGTGAAGCCTGAGGTCCTTGAGAAACATGCTGCCCAGAAGGTTGGAGTTGCAGTGGGAATCCACCTGGGGATGCCGCTTCCAGCAAACAGTCAGCTCAAAGCTGGTGTCTGAGGGTTGAGTCTTGGTGTTTAAACTGATTAAAGTATCTGGAAATGTATACATGTCTCTATTTTTGTTTTTCACACTCACAGACTGAAGCTAACATGTTAGCTTAGAGGTGTTTTGCAGTGAGCAAGGAAATCTCATGCTTGCTATGTGTAATAGGCTAAGATTACCTCTGGGGGGAGCCATCATAATGATCTGAATGATGACCTGATATGGCACTTGAAATGGTTTTTCAGCTAGAGTTGCAGAGGATAAAATGTGTAATTGCATGTTGTTTTTGTACTTCCTGTTACTAGGCACTTTATTTTGAAAGTTGAACATCTGACAGATTGCTGATGTTTGTGTGAGCTTTGAGCTAATCAAAATGAGGAGGAATTCTCAGAGCTAAACATCTGATGTGCTGTCAATTGAAGGCAACTGGTTACAGGCTTTAAATGATCTGTTCTGAATGTGTGTGGACTTGACAAGTATGTGTTTCACTTTCTGAACTGTCTTGTTTCAACTCACCTTTACACAGAGTTGAGGTGTAGAGTGGTTCGATGGCATCTTTAGTAGAAAGACAGTTGACAACAGAGGAGGGCATGTGTTTTGGCAGATCTGGTGGGAAAACAGTTGCAGGAAAAAAGACAAATGGGAATAGTGAGTGTCAACAAAGCAATTGACTAAATGTCAGGCTTGTTGCACAGTTGTCTGACAGATGTGAGATGGCACGCTTCACAAGAACAACAGTGCAGTGTACACTGGCGTGACGTCCGTTTTGAGTGCTGTGCTCTTTCGTTAGTGTTTAAATGTTGCTTTTGTGCTTACTGTATGTGAACTGTGGGGGGAAAAATATAAATATTAAGAGTTTCTCCCAAATACAGAAATCATATTTTTGCAAAATGCATCCCACAGTTTTGCAATAGTATTTCTGTGTGGTTTGACTTTTGTGGTTACTAATAATGAAACTATGTTCAATATTGCTGGTTAGCAGATGGCTATAACTGACTATGCATGAAACATTTTACTTTAGGAGAAACTGTCATTCAGATAATGATTAATCACCACTGGCGGCCTACCAGGCACTTTTTTGGTCGTGGCCCTGAAGAGTGGGGCCCCCGCTGTGGTAGGCATCCTTTATTTTTTCCCCCACATGGAATGTGGCTACCATACTTGGGTCACTGCTTGGTGTCTCCATAGTAAAGGCCCAGCAGGTCTGGTATGATGCAGGGATTTTTCTTACTACTGCTGAAGTTTTGTTGGGAACTGAAAAAAAAAAGGCCAGGGTTTGTGCCACATATGCTATTAAATTGAAATAAGACCATTGAAGAAACTTAGTATCTCGCAGCTAAGCAGACATTTCTATTCACAATTCAAACTGACACAAAGTTGTTTTTTTTTTCCCACATGGCCAGAAAACACGGCCCATGTTTAAATGAGTACCTGTTTACCAGCCCACTCCTGTTTTATATCTTAAGTCGTGATGTTGGTGTGTTTACGTCCGGTTCCCACCGCTCCCAAACGGACCATTAATAATACTGTTGCAGGTGTTTTGTTTGTTCCACTTCCAGCACTGCATCCTGAATCATGTTCTGATTCATCAGATGTACTGCGTGACTGAAGTGGGGGAAAAAAAAAAAAAGAGTTTAAATTTATGTGAACACTGATGTGACAGAGTGTCTCACTGAATCCTGAGGTCAGTGAGAATCATACAAACCAGCGTGCATGTCGTGCCCCACCTGTCTGAGCCGTCCCTGTACGCCGCAGCCACATCAAAGCTGGGCTGGCGGGAATGAACGCTGCTCGTTTGGTGCACGTCTGTGCAAAAAAAAAAAAAAAAACTTTTTTCTTGCTGAATCTTGTGGATGACTTGCCCTTTATTTTTGGGCTTGTGCCCCTAATGTCCATGGGAGCACTTTGTTATTGGGAAAACCCAAACAAACATCTCACAGGCCGCCTGCTTTGGGCCGAAGTGTTCTCTACCCTGTATACAGACGCGCTGGCAGCCAAAAAGTCTGCTTACACGCAGCTTGTGCTCTCACACACAGACAGAAGTGGCCCGGCACTTTTCCCAGAGACATGGCTTTTGTTTGGGTATGGAGGAAATGAAATGGAGGCAGAGTGCGGGGTGGGGGGCACTCTTGAGGAAATGGCCTTGCACTCTGATATCCAGACCTCAGCCTGCGACATGTAGGAACTCGACGGTGTGCATGTTCAACAGCTGAGGTTCCGTGAGGTCAGTCGGAGCGTTTATTTGTGTCAAGTCAGTTTCAGTTTCTTCCTCCACAGCCTAAGGAGCCAGAACAAGTCTGAGGTCAAGGTTCAGTCATCATCCGTTATCTCGTGTAATAACACATTTCATTTCTGTCGCCTGAGGGGTTGCTAAGACGTCAAGCTTCACAAGCAGACCCACAACTCTGGCTCCACTAAGAATAAGGAAATACGTTGTCATGTGGTCGCCAACTGAGGTCGAATTGTGAAGCCCTGCAAGATTCGATAGGAGTGTGATTTAAACTCTCACTGTAGGTGCTGACACTACCCCAGGGTGTCCGTGGGTTTATGTGTTTGGTTTAGTTATTATTGTATTGGACCCGAGTCTAAAGTGTGGGCTGTATTTACATTACAGTCGGGTCGAGACTGGGAGTCAATTCTGATTCTAAACATAACTCCATTAAAAGCTAAGAGGAAGTTAGAACTACTTTTCAATTTCATTGTAACATTTTTAATTAATTTCATGTGTTGTTACAGATAATTTTAATTTTTTTTATCAATTACTTACTAATTAAAATTCATAAAGTTGATGACGTTTGCAGATAATTCCAATGATAACTTTAATAACAGACTGAATAGCACAGTTGGTCCCTCGACCTGGAGTCTATAGTTTATAGCTTTAATTAACCATGGGTATGAATGATCATTTGTCTTTCTATGTGGTCGTGCAATTAACTTAATAAATGCAAAGTAGACCATAAGATCTCCAAACGTATGATAAGTGTGATGAAGTGACCTCATTTTCCTATAGATAAACATTCATGTTGTCTTTTCTCTAAAACCAGGACAGTCACAGAACTAAGACAGGATAGACAAAAAAACTGAAAAGAAAACATAGGAAAAGGGCCCCTCTTAATGGCTGATAATATTGACACGTTGCAATGACAAGTATGATCCCCCTGTGATACTTTCCATGTGCACTACAGCAGACATCTCTGCCTCGATATCTGCCCTCAAGGGATATCAGACCTAAAGTTACCTGATGGCAGACAGCTGAAGAACATTAGCAGCGAACAGCAGCCGAGAGCGCCCCCCTGACCCCCAACTCTAGTATTGCTACTGAAAGATTGTCTGTAAGCTTTAGTGTTTCCACTCTATAATTTTTATATTGTCTACATATGGACTACTGTTTAGACAAATAAAGCCAAGTCTCAAACTTTAGATTTTTTTTCATGCTTTTAGTTTAATTAAAAGGTTTGACTGTCAGCACAGGGAACATGTGAGTAATTCATGTTCTCTCTCATTGTGTCAGACAGACAACCACAGCGTTAGAGTTACAATCGCTGGGCTTCACTGAAGTGTTTATGAATGTAAGAGGGTTCTTACCACGGTATCTGATCTCCCATTGTCCATCCCAGTTCTCCCACCGTGGCTGCAGGGAAGTCCATTTTTGGCTCTTTCTCAATGGGAGGAAATGGGCACCGTCTCTCACCAAGCGTAGAAAAAAAAAAAAAAAGAACATCCGGCCAAACAGTCTGGATTTAATGAAAGTTTGAATATGCACATTTATTGAGATTATAGATTGCCAGATCTGTTTGAAGGAAACTGCTGCAGGTGGTTTGATGTGTTTTGTTTAGGAACTTCCTTTTGTTAGTGTTCTGCCAGCTGCTTCAGGCTAATAAATAATCAGACAAATCTGCTGAAAAACTACAAGAATTTATTTGGTCCATATTGTTCCATTTGGTAGGTAATAAATTAACAAGATAAGCTATTAGTTAACGTATTTTGTTACATGTTTCTTGGCTTAGATGGAGCCCTCTAGCTGTTTGTTTGGACAGTGTTATGCTAGGGTACGCTAACTGGTTGTCAGCTGTAGCCTAATTACTGCATTGACTTAAGGGTAGTTTAGATGTTGGTGCTTCTTTTTATATATTTCAAATAATACCTTTTCATTATTAAATAAAAATAAATTCAACAATGGACTGGGTTAAAAAAAAGGTTTAGATTTCATGAATAGATATAGGAATGCAGGTCGGAGCCAGATGTGACTGATTGTGCTTTGTTGCCTTTTGAGTGTTTTGATTAGGCCATAAATGGCCCCTTGTGTTTGCACCAGATGTCACAAGGTTAACAACAGGCCGACCATTAAACACTATAGCCTAAATCAGACCGGGAAGGAAGGAGAGAGAGAGCAACAAGGATGAAAAGGAGGTCAGGTGAAAGAAAATGAGAAAAAATATTTTTAACATCCATCCACTCATTCTTTCAGCTGCTTTGTTAAAATCCAATCAATTACGTCTTAACACAAACCACATCTTGTCGGACTTGGATGAAATCCATATGTGCATATAGCATGTGTCAGGAAACGCCAGGCACGGCTAAGGCGAGGTATATTAAGATTGGCAGCAGGAAAATGTTGTAATGAAGAACTACTGGCGTTTACCTGCATGCTCTAACATTTGTAGCTGCCCCTTCACCCTCGTATAACTGTGTGTTCTTTGTAAGTTTCATCTGATCGCAATCAACTCGCCGAACTGCACCGATCAGCGTAACCTCTTAAACCAATATTTTCTTGAAGTAGGTAGAAATGTATCCACAGTCCTTGTCAATGAGCAATCCTGAGGTTTTCAACACCTAGTGCTGGTATGGAACATTTTTTAAACATTTTATTCAATTTAGACTATGTGTTTTTTGTGAAGCACAGTTCTGTTTTTTACTATTTTCCATTAAAGCGAAAGTGAACTACTTGTCATTGTGACACAGCACACCACTGCACACAACCAAATGCGACCTCTGTTTTTAACCCATCACCAAAGTGAACAGTGGGCAGCTTTAAGCACCCGGGGAGCAGTGTGTGGGGAC